TGCTCGTGTCGCGTTCTGTCGCACCAGACCCTCCTTTGGCACCACCGCCTTGGTCAACCCTCGGTGCAGCGCCTTCGTAGCATGCACCGCCGTTTCCTTGTCTCTGGACTTCCAGAGACTCTGCCTCCTCTACCACCCTCGCCTGCTCCTCCCTGTCTTCCCTGTGTCGAGGGGCGGCAGCGCGCCGCTCCTCACTCCTCCTCGTTCCCTCCCACAGAGGCTCCCCTGCAGACTCTCCACCTGGACGTGTGGGGCCCAGCCCGCGTCCGTGGACAGGGCCACGAGCGGTACTTCCTGCTGGTCGTCGACGACTACACGCGTTACACCACGGTCTTCCCCTTGCGCAGCAAAGGGGAGGTCCCTGATGTTTTGATCCCCTGGATCCGCGCTACTCGTCTCCAGCTCCGCGAGCGGTTCCAGTCGGACTTTCCTGTCCTGCGTCTGCACTCTGACAGAGGTGGTGAGTTCTCCTCAGACCTCTTGGCAGCCTACTGTGCGGAGCACGGCATCCGCCAGACGTTCACGCTTCCGGCCTCTCCGCAGCAGAATGGGGTTGCTGAGCGCCGCATTGGCTTAGTCATGGAGGTCGCTCGTACCTCCATGATCCATGCGGCTGCCCCCCATTTTCTGTGGCCGTTTGCGGTCCGGTACGCCGCGCATCAGCTCAACCTCTGGCCCCGTGTCTCCTTGCCGGAGACCTCGCCCACACTGCTGTGGACGGGGAAGGTTGGCGATGCGTCGCGTTTCCGGGTCTGGGGTGCTCGTGCCTTTGTCCACGATACCACCGCGGACAAGCTCTCCGCCCGCGCTGTTCCCTGTGTCTTCCTTGGCTTTGTCCCTGACGCGCCTGGTTGGCAGTTTTACCACCCCACCTCGCGTCGTGTCTTCCCCTCTCAGGACGTCACGTTCGACGAGTCGGTTCCCTTTTACCATCTCTTCCCCTACCGCACTGCCCCTCTCCCCCCCCCCCCGCCGCTCTTCCTCGCTCCAGGTGCTCCCCAGGTAGACCCCCTCCCCGCTCCCGGTCCTGCTCCTTCAGGTGTGTCTCAGGTAGACCCTCCTCCCTTGACTGAGCCGGTTGAGGTCACTGGTGACTCAGGTCCTGCTGAGGGTGGTCCTGCTCGGGGTGCTGCTTCTGGGGGTGCTGAGCCTGGGGGTGCGGAGCCTGGGGGTGCTGAGCCTGGGGGTGCGGAGCCTGGGGGTGCTGAGCCTGGGGGTGCGGAGCCTGGAGGTGCGGAGCCTGGGGGTGCGGAGACTGGAGGTGCTGAGCCTGGGTGTGAGGAGTCTAGGGGTGCTGAGCCTGGGGGCGCTGAGGCGTCAGGTGAGCAGTCTCCCTGGGGCGACCGTCTCCATAGTCGCTCCGCTGGTGCCTCGCAGCTGCACTCTCGTCGTCGACTCCCTCTCTCCCCACAGCAGCTGCTTGAGTGGTACGCTGGCCGTCAGGGTCGCGCTGCTGGAGCTAGGGGCCCTGCTGCGGGAGGCGCTGGAGCTGGTGACTCTGCCACTGGAGTTGTTTCTGCTGGAGGTTCTGGAGCTGCTGAGGGCGCTGGAGCTGGAGGTTCTGGAGCTGCTGAGGGTGCTGGCGCTGGAGGTTCTGGAGCTGCTGGAGGTACTGGCGCTGGTGGCGCTAGAGCTGGAGGTTCTGGAGCTGCTGCGGGTTCTGGCGCTGAGGTTTCTGAGTCTGCTGTTGCGCGGCTTCCTTGGAGTAGCCGCCTTCGTCTGCGTGTGCCTCTCACCTCGCAGCAGCTGCACGACTGGTACGGTCGCCGTCAGGGTCGCGCTTCTGGAGCTCGGGGCTCTGCCGCTCGAGGTACGTCTGCTGACGTCACTGGAGCTGGGAGTGGTGCTGGTCCCGGAGGTGCTCGTACTGGAGGTACTGGAGCTGCTGGGGCTGGAGGTGCTGAGCCTGAGGGTGCTGCTGCTGGAGGCACTGAGGCTGGAGACCCTGGGACTGGAGGTGCCGGTTCTGGGGGTGCTGCTGTTGGTGGAGCTGGTCCTGGAGGAGCTGGCGCTGAGGGTTCTGGAGCTGCTGGAGGTGCTGGCGCTGGTGGCGCTGGAGCTGGAGGTTCTGGAGCTGCTGAGGGTGCTGGCGCTGGAGATTCTGTAGCTGCTGGAGGTACTGGCGACCCCGCTCTCTCGCGCTGAGGCGATCGCGGGTGAGTACTCCTCTCAGTGGCAGACAGCCATGGACGCAGAGATGGCATCCTGGAAGTCCACAGGCACCTATGTCGACGAGGTTCCCCCACCTGGGGCGAACATCGTCAGTGGCATGTGGATTTTCAGGGTGAAGCGGCCGCCAGGTTCTCCGCCTGCCTTCAAGGCGCGTTACGTTGCACGAGGTTTCAGTCAGCAAGAGGGAGTAGACTTCTTCCAGACCTTCTCCCCCACCCCGAAGATGACCACTCTTCGGGTGCTGCTGCACGTTGCCGCTCAGCGAGACTACGAGCTTCACTCTCTTGACTTCAGCACAGCCTTCTTACAGGGCAGCCTGCACGAGGAGATCTGGCTGCGCCGCCCACCTGGCTTCACTGGGTCGTTCCCTCCTGGTACCCAGTGGAGCCTCAGGCGGCCGGTCTACGGTCTCCGCCAGGCGCCACGTGAGTGGCACGACACACTGAGGACGACACTTGCGGCTCTTGGGTTTGCTCCGTCGACTGCTGACCCGTCGCTGTTTCTGCGCACCGACACTTCGCTGCCGCCGTTCTACATCCTCGTGTACGTCGACGACTTGGTCTTTGCCACTGCTGACACTGAGGCTCTCGCCCAGGTGAAGTCGGAGCTACAGAAGAGACACACGTGCACAGACCTGGGTGAGCTGACAAGCTATCTTGGCTTGCGGATCACCCGGGACAGAGCACGCCGCACCATCACACTGACTCAGTCACACATGGTGCAGCAGGTCCTTCAGCGCTTCGGCTTCACCTGGTCCTCGGCACAGGCCACTCCTCTGGCTACAGGTCACTCGCTCTCAGCTCCACCTTCGGACGAGTCCGTAGAGCCGAGTGGTCCTTACCCAGAGCTAGTGGGCTGCCTGATGTACCTGATGACCTGCACTCGTCCTGACCTTGCGTACCCTCTTGGCCTTCTGGCTCGCTACGTGGCTCCTGGTCGGCACCGAAAGGTGCACATGGATGCTGCTAAGAGGGTACTACGCTACTTGTGCAGTACATCGGGCATGGGGCTCATGCTTGGAGGACGGAGCGACGTTGTCCTCACTGGGCACTCAGACGCTTCTTGGGTTGACGACCAGGCTACGCAGCGGTCGTCACAGGGTTACACCTTCAGCCTTGGCTCTGGTTCGGTTTCTTGGCGTTCTACACGCTCGTCTTCAGTTCTCAGCTCCAGTTGTGAGGCTGAGATCTACGCCACAGCCATGGCTGCACAGGAGTTACGCTGGCTCACCTACCTGCTGACCGACTTGGGAGAGCGGCCTCGTTCTCCTCCAGTGCTGTACGTCGACAACAAGGCCGCCATTGCCTTGTGTCAGGAGCACAGATTGGAGCACAGAACGAAGCACATCGCTCTGCGTTACTTCCTGGCTCGAGAGTTGCAGCAGCGTGGTCAGCTTCGTCTTGCTCACGTGGCCACTCGGGCCAACATTGCTGATATATTCACCAAGGCGCTTCCGTCTGGTGATCATCAGCGTTTCTGCACTCTGTTAGGCCTTGTGCCCACGTTTCCTCCTTTGCTGTAGACTTTGCTTGTACTGTGATCTATATATACCTGCATGCTTGCTCTGCTAGGTAGAGATCACTGTGCTGTTGTTTTTGCATATATGCGCCTGCATGTGAACTGGCCTTGTGGCCCTTTGCTTGTGCTCAGTGTTTGTGGTGACGTTGTGATCCACCCTGAGCTTGCTTTGCTTCTCTTGACTGGTCTTGTGACCCCTTGCTCTCCCCCACTTTGCCTATGGGGGTGTGTCAAAGTATATGCATGTTATATATGTGTAGGCTGTAGTGGGGTAGCCAATATGGGGTACAACCCCTTTTAGGGTTCATACTTGTACCCAACTGTTTCATTGTTCATTCATTCCTGCTGCTTGATTCTGACACTCTGCAACGCTGGAGCGGTGCGAGCGCTGCTGCGCTGGAGCGCGGTCGACCATGCTGCGCTGGAAGTCGACCAGCAGCCTAGCTAGCTCTGATGTAGTCTGTGATGCCAATGTTGTTGCAACCATTGTTGTGAACTTTTGCTAGTGAAACTCTTGCAAATTCCCCGTGAACCAGCAAGTAGTGCAAGCACGAGTAAACGACTAAGTGAACGAACGCAGAGATCCTTCATACCCCGTGCCTAGCCCGTAGTCTAGCTCCCGTTGATTCAGTTATCTCCGCAGCAAGAACAAGCAACAAGAAAGAGAAGCAACTCAGGGTGGATCACAAAGTTACCACACAGTCACACCACCCATCTCACCATCTCACTGGGTGCGTTCTCTCCCCTCAGCTGATACCCAGTGAAACAGAGAAAATCCTGCCATCCAGTACCACACACTCCCATCCCATCTCACCATCAGCAGACACCTAGCCGCCACACACCCTCGCATGCTGCACCCATCCTTGCAGCCATGCCGCACCTCCACTCTCATTTCACCATCTCACTGGTTGCGTTCTCCCCATCAAGCAATCCCATTCAGCTGAGCTTTTAGGTGAGCATTCAGTTGAGCATTCATTGAGTCGACTGTTGAACCACACATTGATCTCACCATCTTATTGGGTGCGTTCTCCCTACCAGCTGACACCCAGCCACCACACATCCTCGCATGCTGCACCAATGCCTGCAGCCACGCTGCATTTCCATCCCCACCATTCCCCACCCGCATCTGCCCAATGCCTGCTTGACACGTGGCAGCACCTCCTGTGCTGCTTGTAATGCCATTGCTGATAGCACAGCCCTTTGTCCGTACCTCCATGCTCCCACCCCTGCTCCTCCCCTTTCCCATTTCACACGTCCCCTTTTCTCTTTGAGTTTCACACTCCTTCACCCCTATCACCCACCCTGTCCCCTCACTCCCCTTGTTCTCTCCCTCCTTCTCCTTCCAGATTTGAATCCCCATGGCAGTCAGGAGGGACAGCAGGGGTGATGCGGCAGAGATAGGACTCTCCTGTGTGCTGCTGCTGCCACGCTTGCTGCTCCCTCGTTCGTTGCTGCCACTCGCACTGGCCGTTGACGACGCTACAGCATCCAAGAGTATCTTGCAAAAGGGATCACAGCGTTTGTCACTGAGTGCCAAGGAGCGGGAGCGGAAGGGGAGCAAGCGGAGAACAGAGAGCAGAGAGAGGAGAGCGCCTAAACACGAATTTATCAACTTTTGTGCCGCTGCTGCTGATGCGGTTGATGCTGTTTCGAGACCTGGAGAGCCAATAACATAGCGACACATGTCCCCAATTCCCAGCAGCAGTGCACCCACGTGCCCATCCTCCATCCTCCTCTCCAACCTCCCATCCTTCCCCTCTTTCACTCCCGCTGTATCCCCCTCAGCCTCCCCTTTCCCTCCCTCTTTCCCCCCATCTCCCCCCCTCTCCAACCCCAGTTCCCCCCTCGCTGCTCTCCACTCCACAGAACCGGTCTGCCTCCCTCCCAACACCACACCATCCCTCCCCCCCCCTCCGCTCTTTTCTCCTCCCCTCCTCCCCTCACTCCGCTCAGCTCCTCTCTCTCCCTAGCATCCCTCTCCTCCAACCGCCTCCTCTCATTCACACCAAGGCTGGCTCGAGCCCTTGCTGTCACCGCCGCCACTGCCGCTGCTACAGCTGCCTCTGATGCTTCTGTCCGCCTGTGTTGGAGCTGATTGGAGGGTAAGGGTTGGGCGGTTGGGGGAACAGTGGGAGGAGAAAAGGCCGGTTGAGGAAAATATGCGTCCATTGCTCTGCAATGCAAAGGCCACTGCCACTGCTGCTGTTACTCCTGCCTCTGATGCTTCTGTCCGCCTGTGCTGGAGCTGAATGGGAGGGAGAGGGTTTCGGCGGTTGGGGGAAGTGAAAGGTTGCAGTGTGGAGGGGTAGAAGAAAGGATGGTCGTTGAAGAAGAGAAGAGCAAGCCATGGTCTCCAGTTGCAGATAGCTCCAGCTCCTGCAACCAATCAGTGGTTGGGGAGCGAGCATGGCTTGCACTTGCGACCAGCTGTACAGCTCTCCTTGTCACTTGTGCAAAACCATTGCCACTGCTGCTGCAACAGCTGCTACAGATGCCTTCGATGCTTCTCTTCGCCTGTGTTGGAGCTGATTCGACGGGAGAGTGCTGGGCGGTGTGGGGAAGACGAAGGATGCAAGATGCACTGTGGGGGAAAGAGGGGAGACGGAAGGGCGGCTGCGCTTGAAAGGGAGGGGAGGGGGTTTGGGTGGTCGGGTGGGCGGTAGCAGGAGGCAGGGGGTGTGGCAGGAAGGACAGTAGTAGAAGACAAGTGAGCAATATTCTGCACTTAAAACAACTCTGTTGTTGGTCTTAAGGTTTCTGTTGCTCTCACAGTGACCTACCTCACCCCATTTTCGTGTGTATCTTCGAATGACGTCAGCAACCCCATACCTCCCCACTCCAAACACGTATGTCAGCTTCTTGCCCCACCTGCTCGGCCATGCACAATGCAAGAAAAGAGAGGGAGAGAGGGTGGATGCAGCAATAAGGTGCCTTTTTAGTCGACTCAACAGTCACACGTATGACAGCTCTTCTTGCCCCACCTGCTTGCCCATGCACAGTAAACGATAGAAAGAGTCACAGCATTCGATTGCAGGTGCTATCTGCAGTGCTGCATGCATCCATAGCAAACAGTCCCCACAGACAGCACTGAGACTGGAAACGAAACGACAAATGGGTGCAAACAACCCCTTCTTTGCCTTCATGGCATGGTTTGATCAACCAGTGGCTGAAAGCCAGTCAGTCAGACCCACGAGGAGGGATGTCCACAGCTTTCAAAATATGTTGTATGTGCGTGCATTTTCACTGGTTCCAAGGATCTGTGGCGCAATGGTAGCGCGTCTGACTCCAGATCAGAAGGTTGCGTGTTCGATTCACGTCAGGTTCAAAGCCTGCATTTTACTCCCAACGGTTTTTTTCTCTCCAAACCGTGAGCTGTGTCCACCACGTTTGCGTTCTGTGTTCATACACTGTGATGTGCGGTTCTCGTTTTGTGTAACGCATGAGTCGCATGGTGCTTTATGGCTGGAACCAGGTCAGCCTCGAAGACTCTTCTTCTGGTTCAGGAGTCTGAACCAATGCAAGCCACGGAAGTTACCACTCGCTACAAGAACCCAGGCTCACATTCAGTTTTCCACGATGATAGGCGGACCCTGGCAAGAGGACGAAGGGTGGCGAATCCACCGGCCATTTTCTGCGACGTGTTTTATTTGACGAAAGGATATGCGAACGAAGTCGCCCTACCTCGCTTTCGCCCAATTGCATTGCACCGCGGTTATACAAAAAATGGTGATTACTCTTGCCTTGCCCAGAAATTCATATCAAGCAGCAAACCTCTCCACAAATCCGTCTCCACATAGCACTTGCCATTCCCACCCCACCCAAACCTCCCCATGTAACCACTTTCCACCCAACTTTTCTCGTAGAGCAGAGGCGTGTAAAAGGCAGCTTCCCACGGTCCAGATGCATCCACCTGCTGGAAAGGAGCGGGGTGAAGAACAACCCCGGTCCTATAGCAGGAGATTTTGAGCACAGGAAGGACAGCCAATCCATCCCACTACCTTTACTTTGAGTACAGTCATCGTAATCTCACTCACCTTGGTTTCTCTTAACCCCTAATTTCGCTGTTGTCTGTACCGTATTATGTTCTGGTACATCACTAGAGTAGCACACCGCCCCCCAAACATTCTGGTGTGCTGAACATGGTCACCCTCAACATTTTAGCACACCAGACGTCACAACAGTATGCTCAACCTATCGTTGATTCCTCATCACGTATCAAATTGCACGCACCTCTGCTTGGCATGCCAGTAGCACTCAGTCCACACATGGTCTGCCCAATCCACTGCCTGCCACTGCCGCCATTCCCACCACGTATCCCCACACACCCCTGCCCACCACTGCTCTGCCATTGATATGATGGCATGACCAAGCCCCCCTTTCCACGCACCTCTGCTTCGCGTGCGAGTAGCACTCAGTCCACACATGGTCTGTCCAATCCACTGCCTGTAGCCATCACATGCACATGCACATGCACATGCACATGCACGCACATGCACATGCACACACATGCACGTACATGCACATGCACATGCACATGCACATGCACATGCACGCACATGCACATGCACGCACATGCACGTACATGCACATGCACATGCACGCACATGCACGTACATGCACATGCACACACATCCACACACATGCACACACATGCACGCACCATGCACACACATGCACATGCAAATGCACACACATGCACATGCACACATATGCACATCCACACACATGCACATGCACACACATGCAAATGCACAAACATGCACGTGCGCACACATGCACATGCACACACAAGCACATGCATCGAAGCGGCAATTGGTGCAAGCACACAAGCGTGCAACTCATGTTGCGTTACATGCATGTGTCACACCTGCTAAGGCGCGAATCAAGCGGAACCTTACAAGATATGTGCAAGCCACAATATCCCTGACCTGACCGGATAACTACCACACAAGACTAACTCCCTCAAACAGTTACACCTACCTGACTGGCATCACTGTAGTCACTTCATACACACCTGCCTGGCATCACTATAGTCACATCGCACACACACACACCTGCCTGGCATCACTATAGTCACATCACACACACCTGCCTGGCATCACTATAGTCACATCACACACACCTGCCTGGCATCACTATAGTCACATCACACACACCTGCCTGGCATCACTATAGTCACATCACATACACCTGCCTGGCATCACTATAGTCACATCACACACACCTGCCTGGCATCACTATAGTCACATCACACACACCTGCCTGGCATCATAGCCCAGAGCCCGGCAGCAGAGAGTGAAGGCGTTGGCCCACTCGCCACAGCGGCCCTCCCTGGTGTCCGGGAGCTGGATGATGGAGGGAGGGAGGGGAAGGAAGGAGGAGAAAGAGGGGCAAATGTGGGTGAAACAGCTCTGCCTTGCCCACAGCAGAGGGTGAAAGCATTGGTCCACTCGCCACAGCCGCCCTCCCTGGTTTCCACGAGCTGTGTGGCGGGAGGAGGGGGGAAGGGGGGAAGGAAGGAGAGGAGGAAAAGAGAAGGAGAAAGGGACGACTCAGGGTTGGCTAATCCCTGCTTAAAACGGCATGCAGAGAAGAGAGGATGATTCAGATGGACAGGTCAGACAGAGGAGGTGACAGGTCAGACCGAGGTGGCATGTGTGGAAGGTGGTTATGGGTGGGTGTGGAAGACAATTGAGAGCAAATCTGTTTGGCTGGACTGGATTAGTGTAAGCAATCAAGCACCCGTGGTGAGAGCACCGCCCGAGACGAGCAGTGCCATTCATAGATTCCAATTCGTTGAGAAACGCCACCTCCGAGCCTCTAGAGCCTCCGAGCCTCTTGAAGCGGACAGTGAGGACATTGTGCCTCCTTCCGGTTACCCTGGCAGGGTCATTTTATGTACTGCACGAAGCGAGGCACAGAGGTGACTTTTGAGTCGACTCAGAAGTCACCTGATGGTGACTGGTAAGGCGCACACCTGCCCCTGTGCCTTGATCTGCATCTGTATCTCTCGCTGTGCCTTTTTCCGTAAATGTATTTGTCTTGTGCCTCATCCGACTTACCTTAGCAGGGTCGTTGTATCGCACGAAGCGAGCTACCGTGCAGCACAGCTTGACCTGAGAGCCTACATCTGCTTACTGGATACAGGCACCTGCTTACTTGTGTCCACCAACACCTGTGCGCCCGTGCCCGTGCCCGTGCCCGTGCCCGTGCCCGTGCCTGTGCCTGTGCCCGTGCCCGTGCCCGTGCCTGTGCCTGTGCCCGTGCCTGTGCCTGAGTCCTCCTACCGTGCCTGTATGCCTGCGCCTGTACCTTGGCAGGGTCGTTGTATCGCACGAGGCGAGCCACCGTGCTGCACTGCTTGCACCTGAGAGCGACACCCAACCCCACCACGCGCACATCCAGAGCAAGAGAGCCACATGGAGGGAAAAGCGGGAGAAGAAGGGCGAGGGAAGGCCTAATGAGAAGGGGAAGGGTGAGGAGTCGGACTCAGAATAGGCAAAAAGGGAGAGGGTAGGTACGTCAGTCCACCAAGGGAGGAGGGTGTGCCAAATTCATCCCATCCCACTCCTCCCTTCCCCTCCCTTCCCCTCCCTTCCCCTCCCTTCCCCTCCCTTCCCCTCCCTTCCCCTCCCTTCCCCTCCCTTCCCCTCCCTTCCCCTCCCTTCCCCTCCCTTCCCCTCCCTTCCCCTCCCTTCCCCTCCCTTCCCCTCCCTTCCCCTCCCTTCCCCTCCCTTCCCCTCCCTTCCCCTCCCTCCTCTCTCTCCCCTCCCCTCTGCTCGCCTTCCCTCCCATTTCCTTAGCCCCCATTACCCTTGATAGAATGCTGTTGACACGACCCCCACCCAACCTGGCTCCCACCAACCCGACAAGACCCAACCCGACCCGACCCGACAAGACCCGACCCGACAAGACCCAACCCGACCGGGTCCGATCCAGCCTGGCCCAGTCTGACCCAACCGGACTTGGACCTATGACCATGCCCCAGCCCCTGCCCCATGCCTACTGAGGAGCGGACCTTAGCACGGGAGACTGCAGCGGCCTCCTCGTGCTGCTGCAGGGGAATGAACGAGTGCGCCTTGTCCTGGCGTGATGGGTCCTCATACTGGTGGGGTGTGGAGTGTGGAGTGTGGAGTGTGGAGTGTGAAGTGGGAGGGGGATGAAGATACACAAGGAGAGCACAGGAGAAAAGCAAAAAGAGAAGGGGTCAACTCGTGCACGGGAATGAGTGAGGTGCTCACTAGCACAGAAATTAGTGGTCAACGTTTGATGGAATCACAGCCCAAGATAGTGGTCGCAGCACTGCACCACATTGCACCGCACTCCACTCACCTGCATGACATTTCTCCAGAGTGACAGCAGTCGCCCCTCCAACACCGCTTGACCGTGCTGCTGCTGCCCCCTCAGCTGCCCACCTCTCAGCTGCTGCAGCATGGTGTGCATGGCATGTACCTCTGACTGCTGTATCTGCTCTGCCAATGCTGCCTCCTCCTCCTCCTGCTCTCACTACATGCCATGACCATATCATGCACCATGCACCATGCCACGCCATGCCATGTGATGTGATAAAACGCAAAGAGGGTGTGCCAAATAAGTGGGGGGTCATGAGGGGGTGTTGGCACAGCTCAAAAGATGCAGCAGGGTGAGGCAAGGCATGTGCACATTCAGACGCGTACTAGACGAGACGACTTTCGAGGCGCCCAAAAAAGCACCTCTTTTCGAGGCGCCTCAAAGATCAAAAGATGCAGCAACGTGAGGTAAGGCATGTGCATGTTGAGCGTGGTGAGTAGTAAACGACTTTCGAGGCGCCCAGTAGCCGGGTGGTGTGCACAAGGTGCCGAGCAAGGCATGTGGGTGTCTAGACGCACGGTGAACACACAAACATGCATGCACTGGAAAACGCCCTGACATCATCGCATGTCACATGGGTGCTATTAAATGCATGCAGGAACGCTGATACACACATCCATACATCCAAACGTCCATACATGCATACATCCATACATTCATACAGCCCTCCCTCCATGCATGCTGCATACCTGTAGTCGCCTTGCAAGCTCCTCATCGTCCTCCCTGCTGCTCTTCCCCTTACCACCCTCCTCTCCCCCCTCCCCTGTCGCCCCGTTCTCTCCCTCCGCCCCTTCCGCCGCCTCCGCCCCCGTCCCCCCTTCCGCCCCTCCTCCCCTTATTGTGCAGCAGGAGCACTGCACCAGTGGCCGCCAGGAGAGACGCCAAATCAGCATGCGGCGAGGAGAGGTCAAAGGAGAGGTTAAGGAAGGATAGAATAGAGGTGACTACCGGATGCAGCACAGCACCCTTCCCAGCACATGATTGCTGGTCCAGCCCCATCCCGGCAAATGGAGAGTGGGAAACGTGCGGAAGAGGGGAAGGGAATGACGAATGACTGTGTCACTGTGTCATGTCACAGCAACAGCTGATCCGGTCTCAATCAAGCGCAAGAGAATCGTTCGGTTCGGCTTCATCGCCCAATCGCTCGATGCTCGACGACATACCAGTTAGTTCTCCGGCTCGACTACTGCGAGCGAGAAGATCTGAATCTGCACCACCTGCGCGTGGATGGACGGCCAGGGATGGACGGAAAGGGGGAAGGGGGGAGGGGTGTGGATGGCACGATTCACAGCAGGCCTGAGTAGGTGAGGCACAGTCTTCAGGAAGCAGTTGGAGGGGTGGGGGGAGGGTGGGAAGGCCATGATTGCAAACAGGCAAGGGAAGATACTAGGTTCGCACAGGCCTTAGGTAGGCAGAGGTGGAGGGTAAGTCCGAAACGGTGGGGTGTGGATAAGGTGGCTGGGATGATTCTTGAGGTGCCCTCAACATCAGAGGGAGTGAGGCCAAGCTAGTTCGCCTATGGATCATGCAGGGGGACAGGCGGGGTGGAGAATAGTGTCATATCCGCCTCTCTCACGACACGATTGCCTTCCTCACAGGTACACCGTATAGCTATCATATACATACCCCTCACTACAGCCGACTTCTGACGCGCCTCGAAGCTATCGCACACCCCTCGCCAAAGCTTATTTCCCTCTCTCATATGAACATTATGGGCTGGCCAAAGTAGCGGCGAATCTGCCTGCATGGTCCCACATTCTGCTCCCCGTCCCTACTTTCGCCTCACCTCCACGCCCATATCGACCTCCACTTCCATTTTGAACCGCTCCTCGCCAAACACCACCGTCACCCCTCGCGCCGCCATCGCGGATAGCACAAACACCCGCCGCGCTGAACGGGCCGCGCGGCGCACCCGCAACTTTAAAGGGGCTACAGACGTCAACTCGTGGTGCGCGAGCAACCGCTGACTGGGTGCGGCGAGTGACACAATGAAACGGCAGCCACGTGGTTCCAGTTGATTCGACTTGAGTCCAACTTCGTGCAATCTGAAGCCTGCACTCCTACTAGTAGGTTGTATTCGTGGAAAAAGGAGAACCCGGGTCGAGGGTTGAGAGTGAGTGAGAGCGCGATGCAGGTCTCAAGAGAGACCGATGGCCGCGGTACTGTAATGCATGGGGAAGTTTGCGTCGCCGATGACGCTTGCTGTGACAAGCCAGCTCGGGAAATCTTCGCTCTCGCAAGTTGCTTGTGCAAGAAAAAAATCGTGAAGGGAACGACCCACATCGTGAGTTCGTTTGTTTCGTGGATTTCGCGCCAAAACTAGCCAAACCTTCCAATGTCTCTCCGAAGCTAAACCAAAGCAAACCCTACCACACCAAACCAACCGAGCCGAACCCAAGTAACCAAGCAGAGCTCCTCATTGCCGTGCCAACCTAACTTCTACATTTGTTGGTAGACCCCCCTCAGTGCTGACTTCTTGATTCAACAGGACTCCCCTCCCCACTCGCTCTACCCACTGCATTTGCTGTAGCTTCATTGCTCAGCCTCCAGCCATGCTTCAGAGAGTCTTCTCTACGTCTATGGACCTGGTAAAGCAGCGCTGTCACTAATACTTACAGCTTAGCCGGATTCAAAACGTTTCCCTTACCACGCTCTTACAATGCTACTGATTCGCCACAACTCCTGAGCCAAGCCAGACGTTTGCAAACGCTAGAAAAATACAACGATACCCTGTTTCTTAATCAGAGCGGAGAAACGTCACGTATGCGTCGCCGGCATTCCGCGTTTCCAACGTTCGTCTCTGAAGCGGCAAAGGAGGCGGTCTTTAGGGAAGCGTGGTGGAATAAACCGCTCTCAGAAGACTTTCTGCACGGCAACTTGTTCTGGGTGCATCAGTTCCCAGTGCGATACTAATGACAACCCCTTAGCTGTAGCCTCGCGTTAGCGCGTGTACACACTGGCGGAGAAGTCTCAAGATGGAACATTTTATACGTGCATTCCTGACGGAACCACAAAGTCGTACGACACTATGGGATGAGCTGACACTTCAAAACCCTCAACGCTTGACATCGGTACCCCAAGATCAGCCGATGATGGACGAGCGGAAACGAGCGGGGCGAGAGAGGGCAAAAGAGCTGCGGACTATGCAGAGAAGCTTCCGCTGCTGTGTCGGGCAGACATGGTTCACTACCTGGACGTGAGAGAAGCGTGGGGCTTGGCTGTGTGCGAGTGCTGCTTCAATCGAGCTGCGAGCCAGCGCACACAGCGCGCACTCGACATGACGACTCTAAAAAAATTCCGTTTTTACCTGCGAGAAAAGCAGCCTGAGTCCATCCCCCTCGCTCCCAACCGTCCGACCCGGGCTATGTACGAGTTCTCGTCAAAGGTTCCTCTGCCAGAGGCAGCAGCGCACCTAAAAGCGCCGCCTCACATGCATTTTCAAGTGAAGTGTGATGTAGCCCCTTTGCTGTGTGTGGAAGCGATGTTTCTCGAGTGGATGGCTGAGCCTCGTGTGGGCGTGCTCATGGACCTGGGGGTGGTCAGATCTCGTCTGCCTGCTATTCTAAGTGCCGCAGATGTCCCTACTACTACAAAAGCTTCCCCTGCTGCTACTGCTTCTGGTTCCTCTGTTGGAGCCTCTCCAGCGGGGCCCTGCTGCTGGCGCTGCAGCAGCTGCTGGGCTGCCTAGCGCCGTGCTGTCAGCTTCGCTGCCTCCCTCGTGCTTGTAGCGAGGTGCCCGCGGGTTGTGACTCTATGCAGGGCTCATGCCGCAACTTCGAAGGCCTATCCAGCCATTGTGACTGCGCTAGGGGCACGCAGGCAGAGGGAGACGGACCCTTTTGCTTCCATGCTGGTTCAGATCCTCGGTGTGAAAGAAAGCCATGACCTGGAGGAAGGATTTGGTGCTGTCATGCAGAATCTGCTGTCTGGTGGACTGGAGAAGGCGCATGCAGAGAAGAAAGGGAGAGGGGGGACAGGAGTTGGAGGGCAGATGGAGCATGATGGGAATCAAGAAGGGTCATGGATGGACGGTGGTGGCAAGGATGGTAGGGATGGGAAGGGCGGGCAGTGGAGGGAGCATCTGAAGGGGGGTGAGTGGGAGAGGTACGTGGATGGCATGGCTTGGATTCTGGAGCATGGAGGGGGGGAAGGGAGGGAGTTCCGGTGCAGCCACTGCAGTGAGGGGGGCAGCAGCAGCAGCAGCAGCAGCAGCAGCAGCATTGGTGGCGGTGGCAGCAGCAGCAGTGTGGGCGCAACGACTTTTCCCAAGGGCATGTGTGTGAGTGGCGTGGGTGCGACCGACTTTGCTCTTTCCGTTGCTGCTGTGCTGTCCACGCCAGAGTACTGCAAGGAAAGTGACTTGTACTTCCTAGACGGCAACACTGCGAGCAAGACACGGGTGGAGGATGCAGCTATTGAGACGGCCAGGGAGAGGCTGAGCATGATGGCACGGGGTGAAGGAGGGGCAGCAGGCAGAGCTGTGGGAACAACAGCATCAGCGCTACCACCAGCATCGGCACAACCACCAGCATCGGCACAACCACCAGCATCAGCATCACCATCAGCAGTGGCAGTGGCATTTGCCAACCCAACTCCTGTGAACACAAACCCTGTCGTTGCAGTCTTCACGCATGGTGAGTGGCCAGCAGCATGGTGAGTGGCCAGCAGCATGGTGAGTGGCCAGCAGCATGGTGAGTGGCCAGCAGCATGGTGAGTGGCCAGCAGCATGGTGAGTGGCCAGCAGCATGGTGAGTGGCCAGCAGCATGGTGAGTGGCCAGCAGCATGGTGAGTGGCCAGCAGCATGGTGAGTGGCCAGCAGCATGGTGAGTGGCCAGCAGCATGGTGAGTGGCCAGCAGCATGGTGAGTGGCCAGCAGCATGGTGAGTGGCCAGCAGCATGGTGAGTGGCCAGCAGCATGGTGAGTGGCCAGCAGCATGGTGAGTGGCCAGCAGCATGGTGAGTGGCCAGCAGCATGGTGTGTGGCCAGCAGCATGGTGAGTGGCCAGCAGCATGGTGTGTGGCCAGCAGCATGGTGTGTGGCCAGCAGCATGGTGAGTGGCCAGCAGCATGGTGAGTGGCCAGCAGCATGGTGTGTGGCCAGCAGCATGGTGTGTGGCCAGCAGCATGGTGTGTGGCCAGCAGCATGGTGTGTGGCCAGCAGCATGGTGTGTGGCCAGCAGCATGGTGTGTGGCCAGCAGCATGGTGAGTGGCCAGCAGCATGGTGAGTGGCCAGCAGCATGGTGTGTGGCCAGCAGCATGGTGTGTGGCCAGCAGCATGGTGTGTGGCCAGCAGCATGGTGTGTGGCCAGCAGCATGGTGTGTGGCCAGCAGCATGGTGTGTGGCCAGCAGCATGGTGAGTGGCCAGCAGCATGGTGAGTGGCCAGCAGCATGGTGAGTGGCCAGCAGCATGGTGAGTGGCCAGCAGCATGGTGTGTGGCCAGCAGCATGGTGTGTGGCCAGGCCTGTGTGTCTGTCTGTGCAAGGGTACGAGCTTTAGAGGCGCTTCAATACTGGCAAGGTCATTGCTACCACCACTGTTCTTCCATGTTTCACCACTGTTCTGACATGTTTCACTACTGTTGCCAGAACAGTGGTGAAACATGTAAGAGAGGCGCAAGGCAAGGCACTGAATGCTAGACAGTGGTGTAGGTAGTTTATTTATGAGGTTTATTCTCAGAGTGTTTCTTAGCTCTTTCAGAAGTGCCATGCGTGTGAATGTTGAGAGGGTTGATAGTGACGGTGGGATATGGTGAGGTGTGAATAGTAAGAGGTTGAGTGGGAAATGTGGGGTGATTGTGCACGCAATGGGAATGCTAGGGTTTTCCTCCCTCCCCTCGTATTCACACACACACACACACACACACACACCCCCCCCACACACATACACACACACTCACTCACTCAAAGAAGGCCAGATTGGTTTCGCAATAAATTTCAGTGGTCTCTGGTCCTTCTTGCCTGTAAAGGCGCCTCATGTATCACTCTTTGTCTGCCTGCCTTTCTGTCTTCCCTGCCAGTGGCAGCTCTCAGGAGTGTGGTGTGCTGGCCTTGGGTTCATGTGTCTGCTCTTGGTGCTATGCCTGCTGTGGCACCGGCTGGGGTCGCCTCGCCTTCCTGAGGTTGCCTAACTTGCTGCTGCTGAGGCTGGTCGTGTTTTATATCGTCATCAAAAGGTGGCTGCTTGTGGTTGGATGTGCGTGTGTTTCACTTCTCTCTTCACATCTTCTCAAACCTTTCATTCTGATGGCACATTCCGGAAATATAAGGCACTCTTTATCGGAATGCGAGCACTGTGCCACAAACAGAACTGACAATGCAATAGCAGTCATCCCCTCCACTTGCTCTGCACTAGTCTAATGGCAGCCAACATGCTGAACACAAACCCAAACCCTGCTATCGATAGCTTTTCAACACATGAAGCAAAGCTCATTCAAAAGAAAGGGTATGAATGACCAATGCAAAAACTGCTGCTGCACAAGGTGCATGACTGGCAGCAAGCACAGCAGCACGCAGCAGCAAACATGCCAACCCAGCAACTGCAAACTAACTCCACACATACACACCCTCCTCCTTGGGCACGTTTGAGAATTCTCAACAGTGCCACACAAGGAGGATGACTGGCAGCAAGCACGGCAGCACACTCAGCAGCAAACACGCCAACCCTAGCATTGTGCAAATCAAATCCACGCACAGCTTTATTGCAGCACCTCAGAGAATTCCTAGAAGTGCCGCATTGGGAGGACGACTGGCAGCAGGCACAAGAGCACACACAGCAGCAACACAGCAGCACGCATAGCAGCAGGCACAGCAGCAAGTACAGAAGCAAACATCCCAGCAATTCACAAAGGAAAACCTCACATACCCTCGCTCTTTGCTGCATGCCGATACAAGCCCGGCCTGTGATGCCAGCAGTCAATGAACGAGGTCTTGCGATCACAACAGGATATGATGCCTCCAGTCAGACGACCTTTCATTACACCTGCACTGCTCACCCACTCACTTGGCCACTCCCCTTGCCACTCCCCTTACCAACTGCTGCTGCCACCAGTCCGGCCGCTGGTCCTGCCGGAGCATGTGAGCTTGTGGGAGGGCCAGTGAGCCTTTTGGCACTCTCTGCCGCAATACGCCACCTTGCCACACCCACCACAACTCCTCAGCTTCACACCACCACCACCCCCCACCGTCCCACACCCCACAGCACCACACACACGCTACCCACACGCAGCAGGACCAGTGCCACCTGTAACCGAAACGGGTGCACTTCCCTGGTTTGGTGAAGCACCAATTGGTGGGGCAACAGGGGTGGAAGAGACAACAGGGGTGGGAGAGGCAGCAGGGATGGGAGAGGCAGCAGGAGTGGAAGGGGCAGCAGTAGCTTTGAGAGAAGCACTGGTGGGAGGGGGGGCAGCAGAACTTGTTCCAGCAGCAGCTGTGCTCGGTGCTGTAGCAGCTGTGCTCGGTGCTGTAGCAGCTGTGCTCGGTGCTGTAGCAGCTGTGCTCGGTGCTGTAGCAGCTGTGCTCGGTGCTGTAGCAGCAGATTCTGGTGAAGTAACAGCGGTTGGGGCAGCACAGATTGTTGCAGCAGCAGCAGCGGCAGCAGTGGCAGTGCAGCAGTGGTGTTCACAGCAGGATTGCTGGAAGCGGCAGAGAGAGAGGCAGGGAGTAGCAGGGCTCTCCCAGCAGCATCTCCCGCAAACATACCACCAGATTGGTTCCCCCTGGCCATGGCTCCAAGTAAGCCGAAACCTCCTCTTCCTCTCCCTTCTTCTCACTCTTGTTCTTGCTGCTACTGCTGCTGTTACTGTTTTTGCTACTGTTTCTGTTGCTGCTGATGTTGCCGTTTTTACTGTTGCTTCTGTTGGTGCGATGTTCGCTGCTGCTACTGCTGCTCTAGCTTACACAAAAACCGGCCAACTATACGATGCTCCACTGCACCATGACCAAACCTCCTCCCACACCTCTCCTCCATACCCACAATCATCTGCATCATCCTCGCCAGCCCCACCAACCCCACTCCTCAACCTATCTCCTCCGCCCTTCCCCTTTGCTCCTCTGCCTTTCCCAGGAACTTTCCGCTTTCCATCCTCAAACCCGCCAAGGACCAGCATGAGCCCAGGCCAGTGCGTAGCAATACCGATGAGCAGAGGGATTGGCATGGCACCTGTTCCACGTGTGCTCGCACTAGCTGAAGGTGCTCTGCTACAGACAGCCACCGGAGTGACACCCTTGGGAAAGGGCGTGATGCCCAAGCAAGATACAGACAAGCTTGGTAAACTCTTTGGAGTGGGGTGGGAAGACGGAGAGGAAGCAGTCGAGGAGGAAAGAAGCGGGGCGATAGACGAAGTTGGCAACAACAAAGGCGATGAAAGAGATGTGGGAGGTGTAGAGTTTCACGCATCTGCTGCACTCGGTGCATGCTGGCGGGACAGCCAGGCCAGGCCAGCAGCAAAGAAAACTCGAGAATGTTATCCACGTCCTTCATGCAACGAACAATGGGACGACGGCGCTTTGTGGTAGGAGGAGGCGATAGAGTGGGGGTGAGAGGGTCCTTCATGCCTCCCCGGCCTCTTACATGACCTCGCTTCCTTCGATCTCTCCTCTTACCTCCTGCCTTCAATGACTGGCCAGAGGGTCTTCGCGTGATCTCATCTTCCGTCCCACTCTCCTCCAGAATCCCTAGGCCAAAGCATTCTGCACTTGAGCCATCAGGAAACTTCACAGCAGCTTCATCGCCCTGGGGCCATTCCTCCCACTCCATGGAAAAAGTCTGCCCTGCACGAGGTCCGGGGATGTTGCCGAACCTGACCAGCAGGCTCGGAAGGTCCCGAAGCGGATGGCGCATGGGCCGAACCTTGGCCTGTGGGCTGTCCTTGAAGCATTCCTTTGCCGAGATGAAATCTGAGATGTAGACTCGGACCCACCGCAAGATGCAAGCAACTCGGTACGTCAAAACAGCAACGGCTGCGTTGGTGTTGGCAGGCACAAGCCCTGAGCTGGTCACAGGCGCTCCAGTGACATCAGAGGCAGCGGTGCGAGAAGCAGCAGTGAGAGAAGCAAGCAACACTGCTGTCAAGCGAACAATGTCTGGCAGTAGCCGCATAAGGAGCTAACACAATCTCTGCTGGCCATGCGGCTGCTGTAGCTAACACAGCTTCTTCCTCTCCTGCTCCTGTTCCTCCATCTCCCTCACTCACCCTGCCGGTCAACCCCACACGTCCCGCTCTCTTTCGAGACTCCTCAATGGCTGCATCCTCCTCAATGGCTGCACCCTCCACCCCTATCTTGCTCGGGTTGTTACCCTCCTGGAGAAACATTGGTGCTACCTTGCAGTAATTTGGCCTGGAGAGAGAGCACTGTGGCAAGAGCAAGGGCGAAGGCAGTGGCACGTCACCCACGCCACTCACATACATGCCCTTGGGAATGTCCCTGCCTTCTATCACACTCCCCACACTGCTGCTGCTTCTTCTGCTACTGCTGCCATCGCTGTTCCTACTGCTGCTGCTGATACCGTCACTGCACATGCTGCCAGCAATGTTGCTGGTGCTGCTCTCCCCCTCACTGCAGTGGCTGCACCGGAACTCCCTCCCTTCCCCCCCTCCATGCTCCAAAATCCAAGCCATGCCATCCACGTACCTCTCCCACTCACCCCCCTTCAGATGCTCCCTCCGTTGCTCATCCTTCTCCTCCACGTAATCAGCAGCACCCCGTCTCCCCACTGCACCAACACCTCCCCCTCTCCCCTTTTCCTCTGCATGCGCCTTCTCCAGCCCGCCTGACAGCACATGCTGCACAAAGAACCCGAACCCTCCGAACACTCTCCTTCAACCCCAGAACCTGCACCAGCATGGCCGCAGCGCAATCATTCTCCGCCTGCCTACGCGCCCCCAGCGCGGTCAATACAGCAGGGTGGGCCAAATCTCAAGGCTCTATGCGAGTCTTCCACAGAGTCACAAAGCGGGAAGATCTCGCCACAAGCATGAGGAAGGCAGCGAAATTGACAGCACGGCGGTAGGCAGCCCAGCAGCTGCTGCAGCGCCAGCAGCAGGCCCCCGCTGGAGTGAGTGGCTCTAGCAGGGTCAGGGGCATCTGCACCAGCATCCCTGCGCGCTTGGGCATCTGTACTGGCGTCTGCAGCAGCCAGGATGGCCGGCAGGCGGGATCTGATCTGATCCTCCCCAGGTCCATGAGCACGCCCACACGAGGCTCAGCCAGCCAGTGTGTGACCATGGCTTCCACACACGGCAAGGGCACCAGCTCACACTTGCAACAGAACTGCACCTCAGGCCGCTCCCTCTGCTGCTCCTCCCCAAACGCCAAAGCGCTCGAGGAGAACTCGAAAGCAGCCCTGGCTTGGAGGACAGAAACCTTACTTGTTGGGAGCCAAGGGAACAGACTTCAGCTCCGGCTGGCATATTTCATCCCGAAAGTCCTTGAGGCTGCTCATGTGACCCCGCACTGAGCCCTGTAGAAAACTGCGCCCTCCAAGCAGCACTCGCACTCAAGCGCACCCCAGCCTCCCCTCACGTCCAAATAGTGCACCATATCCGCCCGACCGACGCAGCAGCTGCAGCTTCCCACGTGACTCTGTGCCTTCCACTCTTCCTATCCCCCCCTGCCTCGTAGACACTTTTGCCTTTCCTGCTCCGACCGCCGCCTGTGCTAGATAGAAACTTCCACCTTCTGACAGCCTCCTCGCGGCTCTTCCAGATCTCGCTGTATCTGCCTAGGATGCCATTGATCGCACCTGCAGCCGTCGCTCGCCTTAATTGCTCCTACAGGATAATTGGAGTTTCTTCTTGCTCCACCACTCCCTCCTCCGTCTCTCTTCCACGTTGGTACACCCTCTTCGTCATCACTGCTACAGTCCATGTGGCCCCACTTGCTGTAGTCAATCCCACGTGGCCTGGCGGCAGCAGCAGGAGCACGAGCAGGAGGAGGAGACTTCTGAATGGTCACGTCGGCGTGACGATGGCATGGCGTGACGTCGGTACTGGAGTCCATGTGGGCCCCCTTCCCTTGTTGTAATCAATTACACGCGGCGTGGCGATGGCAGCGGCCGGAAGAGGAGAAGCAGTTGCAGTAGGGCCGACAGCAGGTGTGCGGTGGTGGAGATAGTAGGAAGAGTAGCAACAGCCGCGCCACAGCAGGTGCAGCAGCAGGACCAGTCACACACCCTCTCTTCAGTTCCTTCCTCGCCTTTACCATGTCCGCCTTCCTCGCCTTTACCATGTCCGCCTTCCTCGCCTTTACCATGTCCGCCTTCCTCGCCTTTACCATGTCCGCCTTCCTCGCCTTTACCATGTCCGCCTTCCTCGCCTTTACCATGTCCGCCTTCCAAGCGCGGTTTAATTTTCACGGGAAGAACTCTGATGGTGGGTGGATCCGGACCTCGGCGTCGCTTGCTCTGCAGTGGAATAAAGAAATGCACACAGCCTCACCTAGGATCATGAACCGAACCGGCTGCTTCCGAGCCTTCGACTCCCTTTCTTCCGCGTTTTCACTGTCTTGCGTTTCCCGAGCGGACATGGAGGGGATGGTAGGCAGCAGTTGGAACGACAAGACTCAAGATGCGCGTTACAGACTGATACGAGAGACTCACCTGAAGACACAGCGAGGTGAAGACCCACGTCACCTGAGGTTTTTTTTTCAAAATGGCTGTCAACGAAGCTACTGGTGACGTTTACCACCGCTGGTGCACGATTTAGCCGACGCTTCGCTTCCAGGCTCGCCTGATACGCGCCAAATTAGACCCGCTGGGACCCTGAATCGAATACGAGAAGCAGTGGAAGCTTGTCCAACAAATTCAAGTTACTTGTCGTGGTTCAGGCATTGGCAAGGCAAGGTACCGCATGCGATATCAACTCGATGCGATTGATCTTTCCAGAGACCTGTCTCGCGTTTCTCTTCTCACTCACCGCATTATTCCGGGCCGAGCACAACTTAGTGGTAGTGCACTAAGCGTTTCAGACTGCACGAAGTTAGATTTGACTCGAATCAGCTTGAACCACGTCGCTTCCCTTCCGGTGTGTCACTCGCCGCACCCAGGCAGCGGTCGTTCGCGCGCCACGTGTCGAGATCCGAAGCCTCTTCGAAGTTGCGGGTGCGCCACGTGGCTCGTTCAACGCGGCGGGTGGGCTACCGGCGATGGCGGCGCGAGAGGTGACGGTGGTGTTCGGCAAGGAGCGGTTCAAAATGGAAGTGAAGGTCGATATGGGCGTGGAGGTGAATCGATGGGGGGGGGGGGTGTGGGAAGGAGGGACGGCGGGAGTAGGGATGGCGGGAGTAGGGAGGGCGGGAGTAGGCCGGCAGGGGTAGGGACGGCAGAACTTGGATCGGGAAAGGAAGGATGAGGGAGAAATAGAAGTGGCGGTAAAGGAATGCGACGATGAGGATGGCCATGAAGGGAAAAAGAGTATGCCACGTGGACCCTGTGACCTGTCACAAGCAGCGACGCCAGGAGTCGCACCGCCTCCACCATCCCAGCAACCTGCAATCAGACGAGAAAGAGGAAGAGGAAGAAGACAAAAATAAGCAATGTTGTGACGCAAGAACTCAATCAACAAGTTATGTCTCTGTTGTACATTAGGAGTGGTGCGATATATCATATCGTCAATCCCTTCGCGTAGTGTTTCAAAAGGGCGCGATTCTCTGAAAGAGACGTGGCATTCTTTTCTCGCGTTGGGCTGACCCACCTGTTTCTGCTGGTCGAATTCCGGCAAGGGAACGCAGAACATGGCAAGCAACATCGCACTGCCCCGCCTGCTCCTGAACCGCCTTCCAGCCGAACGACTCCAAGGACTCCTCGTCCTGCCATGGATGGGGAACGAGAGGAGGGAGAGGGGGAGAGTAGAGAGAGGAAAGAAAGAGGAGAGAAAGAGCGGAACAAGGAGAGGGACGAACGACTGATGGTTGAGAGGACTCCGAAGAAAGAAACATGGCGAAATGAGCTACACCGCCTGCTAATAAGACGCGTATCAGTCAACTGCAAAACAATTTCAATGACTCCTCGCCCTGCCATGGATGGGCAAGAGAAGGACGAATGCTGAGTCAATTTGAAAGGGATGCCGGACATGGCGACATTTTGGGTTAGGGAAAACGAGCACTAGCGACATCTAATTTTCACAAGACCATGGAAAAAAATAAAAAAATAAAAAACATACACAAAATAAGAAACCACTTGCTTGTGAACAGCGTTTCAGTAAACGCCGAACGACTCTAGTTATTGTGCGTGCTAATTTGTTTTGTGTTCAGGCGTCTTACCACGCATCGCTCTGTAAGCTCCTGAGCGGCATTCAATTGTCATGCCAAAGACTCCAGTGAATTCCAGATTATATTTCTGAACTTGATGAAAGTCGGTACGTCAAGTCAAATGCACAATAAGCAGCAGTGGGTCAATGGGCACAGCAGACTGTTCGTGCGTTTCCGACTCTGCTGCGGTTGCGGGCATTGCTCGAGCCAATCCCCCTTCCCGACAAGCCGATTGCCTGGAAAACCAATCCCAAGGACGAAAACGGACGATACAATAAAGGTCGACAGGGCGCGTGAGGGGGTACAGTATTCCATGCGAAACAAAAAGCAGAAGCATACACATCAAGAGGCCAGTGAAGCAGCGGGACGCTGTTGTCGTGTACGCTCGGGAAAATCAAGGTCTGATTTCCTCGACAACTGCAAAAATTCATTGTGGAAACCACGCGTCTGCTATACGCATCTGTAACCAACCAGTTACATAGACACATCACATTACTACTACCCAATGTCCCTGCGATCCCACCCCCGCTACAGTCACACACCTGCAAGCACAGAATTGCGGTGCAGGTTGTCGCCTGAGTCAGCATCATAACGTCCTCGGGCGTGGCGATCCCGGAACCCACGGACACGTCAGTTGCCAGCGTGATGTGCGTCCACGTCAGCGGCCAGTCAGCCTGCATGCACACCACATCCTCGTCGATAGGTCCTGCGGGAACAGGAGGGGGGAGGGGAGGAGAGTGGAACGAGGGGAAATTGGGAAGAGAAGGAGGGGGGAGGAGGGAACCGTGCGGGGGCGGAGAGAAGGCGAGGGAGAAGTGGGGTTGAGGCGGAACGGAGGCTCCGCCTACATGCGCAGCACCTTTTACAATAACGGAAAGAGAACGGGACGAGGGGGGAAGGGGGGGGGGAGGGGGGGGGGGAGAGGGAGAGGGGAAGAAGCGAATGCGGTAGAAGTGGAGGGGGTCACAGACAGGCCGGAGAGGTGCGCGGACTGGTAGATGGCGGAGTGGTGAAGCAGGCGAAGCTTGGAGCCCGCCACGCGCAGCAGCTGCGTCGGATCCCCCGCGCGCCGAGCACGCTGATACGCGCGGCGCTCGGCGCGCTTCTTCGCCGCGTCCATCATCTCGTGCACGCGCTTCTCCGACCGGCGCGCCTCGTGCCACATGATGGCGAGCGCCCCGATGTTCCTACGATCGTAGTTTGGACTGCAAAGGAAAAATAATTAGAACTCTAATGTTCCTTTTCTTTTTTCGAAGAGGAAAACGTGGAATTAGAACTGCACTATTACGAGATGCACGCGATCGAGAGTAAGATGCGATGAGCTCGTCAGAGTCTATACTACGCCTCCTGTGAACAGACGGACGAACCAGACGTGCGAATAACTCTTTTCCTTAGGGCGCGGTGCAAAGTTTCTCAAGGCCGTTTCTTGAACTAGCAGGTCGAGAAAACAGAAAGGTTGAAAACGGCTTATAAGCTTTCGAAATTGTTTTTACATGGTATATTGTGGTACATTTGACCATTCAAGTCTAGAACAGTGTTGTGACTAACTTTGCACCGGGCCCTTATTCAACTTTCGTTTGCCTTCATGTCGACCCAGGCAAGGGGTTCGGTTCAACCAGTTCGAATACCTTGGTTCGGTTTCATGCGTTTACTCCAATGAAGGTCACGCACTCTTTCGCTACGGCGAAAATTTTTACCTACGGCAAATGTTGGCGACCAGGCGAATCCAGATTCGGGCCTTGTTGAACGAATTGGCATGTAAGTCGCGGCAGCAACCACAGTTACAGATTCCGGCGAAAACAGCCTCGGCAGCTCGTTTCGTTCAGTCATGTCCCAGGCTCCGACCATTTGTGTGTGGGAATGCTCACCTCGAGAATCCCGACAGCTGATGATGAGGAAGAGTTCACAAGCGGGAAATCGCTTAGCACTAACTCAACCACTCTGTATACGTTTTTTAGCTTTCTAAAACGTAAAGCACCTGATGAAGCCGCACTCGTTTACCTTCGTGATCATCCCCCACACCTAGATAGAATACCTTGTGATCGTCACCTAGGACTTCAAGATCGTTTACCTTGTGATCGTCAGACATCAGCCAGTTTCTAGCTAAAATAGCAGCTCGAGATAGTGTTCCATCATAGTCACTTCAGATTTCGATGATCGAATTCTTACAGGTGAACTCGACTTCACGTTTCGCGTCAAGGTTAGCGAGGGTCTAGGCATACACGAGGAGTTCAACAAAATCGACGTAGGCAACGGAAAGGAATTCATGAACTTCTACGCCGCCTCGCGTAGATCAGCCCGCCGTTGGCTATGGCTAGTTCTACCTCAAACCTCACGGCCATTGATAGATCCGATTTCCAGATATATCACTTGTGAGACGTTTCAAATGCAACAAATCGCATCGCGCTTTTCTGTTCCTTCCTCGCCAAGCCTCGATCGGATCGGATCGAATCCAAACGAACCAGCGCGAAACGAGTCTTCTCAACTCCGAAACCCAGGCCGAAGCTTCGAGGCGCCTCAAGAGACCTTATCATCCCACGACCAAAGCTTCGCGGCATGGTCTGCCGCTGGTGCGTCTTTCAGGCCAGCAAACGCAAAAGCTTCCGAGACGGAGCCTGCTTTCTCTGGGCCGAAATCACTTCCCAGGAGCAAGCCTCTAGTAGCGGTGCAAGCGGACCTTAAAACGCGTACATTGAAGGACGAGGATAGGGGGGATGCGGGAGGAGGTCAGGGGAGCATCAGGGGAGTGGGTGAAGAGGAGGGCGGAGAAACGGGAGGTGGAGATCAGAGGGGTGAAAGGAGAGCAAGGAATGCAGAGGGGAAGAGCAAGGGAGGCTGGGGGATGAGTAATGGGACGGGAGGCTGGGAGGAGGAGGAGGCAGTGGCAGTGATAGCTGGAGTGCTGAGAGATAAGTATGGGCCTCAGATTGTGAGAGAAGAGGTAGAGGAGTGGGGGGGTGGGATAGGAAGCAGCGAGGACGAAGAGGAGGTGGAGATAGTGAAAGAGGAGGAGGAGGAAGAAGAGGAGGAGGAGAGGGTAGAAGGAGTTGGGAAGGAAGCTGAAGCAGAATTGAGTGAGGAGGACACACCACCCTCGCATCTCCCGCCCACCACATCTCCTCCCACAACCCCTCCTCCACGCAAGAGGCGGCGGGTCGTATCTCCCTCCTCCCTCCTCTCCCTCTACCGCTTCTTCTCCTCCCACCTCGGCATCTCCTCCCCTTCCACTGTCGCTTCCCTCCTCGCTTCCCACCCTGCGCTCCTCCGCTCCAATCCCACCAATGACCTCCTGCCACGTGTCCGTCTGCTACAGTCATATGGAATATCGCGTGCCGACATTGCCTTTGTCACTGACAAAGGACCAGCCTGGCTCCGAATCCCTCTTCCACAACTTCAAAACACCCTTGAGTTTCTGTTGGCTCATGGCGTCCATCGCAGCAGATTGAGCTATGTGCTCCGACGTGGACGCAATGTACTCTGCTCAGAGGCGCGTTCAACGATCCTGGACATTCTGGTGGAGAGAGCAGGGGTTCCTGTGGACAAGCTGGGTTTGATTATTGAGAGAAGTCCGGACATCTTGACTCGGAGCAAAGAGGCGGTGAATAAGCAGCTTGAGACGATATCACTCTTTTTGAAAGCGAGACCTGGAGGGAAGGTAGAAACAGATAGCACCAGCACATCCCTCCTGAAGCTGCAAGTAGATGAGTCGCGGTCCTTGACTTCCCCAAACACCTCCTCCATTTCGACCTCTGTGCTTTGGCGGGCCCCCACCATCTTCAATTTTACCACAGAATATCTTTTAGCTAAGCTCCAGTTCTTTGTGGAGCTGGTGGGGGAGGAGGCAGCGGGAAGAGTGGCGAGGAGATACCCGGAGTTTCTGCGACTATCGCAGGAGAACGTGCAAGGGAAGGTGACGGTATTGGGTGATTTGATTGGCCGTGAGAATGCTGTGCGGGTGGTGGCACAATATCCTTTGCTACTAACTTCTAGTGAAGGTAACATGAAGGAAAGTTTCAGAGGGCTTGTGCGAGAAGTGGAAGAGGCATTGGAGAGAAGTGGAAAAGAGGGAAGTGGAGCACAAAGCTTGGTGGAAGGCGAAAGTGGTAGTTCCTTGGAAGGCGGGAATGAGTTTCGATTGTTTAACTCAGCCAAAGGTGACAAAAGGTGTAGGGCTCGTGAGCTGGTGGTGGGTTTGGTGATAAAGTACCCGACTTGTATCCATTGTAGTTGGAAAGAGAACCTGAAGCCCAAGGTGGAGTACTTAAAACGGGACATGGGGCTCTCTGTAATGGAGGTTCTTGCCTACCCTTCCTTTCTTGGGTTGAGTCTGGATCGGCGAATCAGAGCGCGGCATGTGGCACTGGTGCGAATGGGCTTTGTAGTTGTGCCACACGAGTTGGTTAGTCGGACGAGTGTTAGAGGCAGGAGAGAAGTTTCGATTGGAGCTGGGCAACGGAGGAACAAGCTGGGCTCTGTTTGCTCCTCACTTTCTGACGAATTTAAGGGAGTGAAGGGGATTGAATGGGGAGCGGAAGAAAGAAAGAGCGTAAGAACGGGTGACAGGAAAGAGCAGCAGTGCGAATGGGAGGAGGATGGTGGTAGTGATTTGCCACTTGAGGAATTTCTCGGCGATCACGCGCCAGAAGGGAGAGCTGCTACAGAGCAGCAGCTTGTGAACTTGGAGGGGACAAAGAGAGCCGTGTGTTTGCGCCAATTTCTCCACTTTCCAGACAAGCAGTTTGAGGAGAAGTTTGGGGCCACACTGTAGGGCTGGTGCTGGTATATGCTCCTGTTCTGTGGCTTCCAATGAACGATAAGGTACAATCTTCTGGGATGGGAAGAGGGGAGCGTTAATAGGGAGAAACAATAGCTGGTCGAAGGCAATTGTGGCAGGGGCAGTAGGGAAAGGGAAAGGGGTATTAGCAGGACTAGCAGCAGCAGCAGCAGCAGGAGGAGGAGGCAGAGGGGATAGTGTGAGTGCTGCAGCCTCGCTGCTGGGTCCGTTGTTGCTACCTGATGGGACCGGAGGGGGTGTGGCTGTTACATCTGCCTCTGCTATAGCTGCCTCTGCTACAGCTGCCTCTGCTACATCTGCCTCTGCTATAGCTGCCTCTGCTACAGCTGCCTCTGCTACATCTGCCTCTGCTATAGCTGCCTCTGCTATAGCTGCCTCTGCTACAGCTGCCTCTGCTACAGCTGCCTCTGCTATAGCTGCCTCTGCTACAGCTGCCTCTGCTACAGCTGCCTCTGCTATAGCTGCCTCTGCTACAGCTGCCTCTGCTACAGCCGTTGCAGCCCTCCCCCTGCTGGGCCTGCTGCAGCTGTTTCTGTGGGTGGCGGTGTCCCCAGCTGTAGCAGAGGAGCTGCTGTTCAGACGGCCGCTGCTCACGGGCCTGCAAGAGAGGCTCGGCAAGTGAGAGGCTTGGCAGGGGGTAGTCGTTCCTTGTCGTCGCCCTTCCAGATTTTTTAGGCGCCTCAAAAGTGGTTCCTTGTCGACGCCTTCCCAGATCCTTTTTCAAAAGAGTGAGCCTCCTGTTGTCGTGTCCCCTCCCCACTGCCACACCTTCTGCCTCATCTGGTCTCCAACTCCTCTACGACCACCCCTTCTCTCTACTGCCTCCTCGTTCTTCCCCGTGCTGGCGCCCCCTCCCTCCCCTGCTCCTGCCCCCTCGCCCTCCCATCATGCCTCCGCTGCTGCACCCCCACCTGTGCCTTCCAGTCCTCACTCCCATGAACACTCCTTGTCTATCTGCCCTCCTCCGTCCTTGTCCCATGCAGGTGGGTACTCCCCATCATGCCTCCGCTGCTGCACCCCCACCTGTGCCTTCCAGTCCTCACTCCCATGAACACTCCTTGTCTATCTGCCCTCCTCCGTCCTTGTCCCATGCAGGTGGGTACTCCCCATCATGCCTCCGCTGCTGCACCCCCACCTGTGCCTTCCAGTCCTCACTCCCATGAACACTCCTTGTCTATCTGCCCTCCTCCATCCCTGTCCCATGCAGGTGGGTACTCCCCATCATGCCTCTGCTGCTGCACCCCCGCCTGTGCCATCGGAACCTGAGGCGTACAGGGAGGGAGGAATACGTACGCTCGAGGCTCGCCTGCAGGCAGCCTACCAGCCTGCACCGTGCAGGTTGAATCAGCTTAATAACAATCTCATTTTCATTTCCCTCGCTGTTTGATCTTCCTGGCCAAAGCTCGCTTTGAGAATACTTATTCCGCAAATTACCACTTATTCTCACGTCAAGTTGAGACAGTCAAAATTCACAAGCCTCGATGGCGCAGTCGGTAGCGCGTAGGTCTCATAGCATTCCGACTCCCACTCTGCTGGGCGGAGCCATCCTAAGGTCGTGAGTTCGATCCTCACTCGGGGCAGACCTTTTGCCGGTGGCCATTGCTAATGGCAGCTCTGAATTCAGAAGTGCCAGTAGCATCAGAGCCAGTGGTAATTGCAGACCGTTTTTTTTTTTTGTTCTTCGGCTTTTCCCGCCTCCCCAACCACGCAAACCCTGTCCCCTCCAAAATCAGAGGCTGCTATAGCAGCGGCAGTGGCAGTGGTGACAGCAAGGGCTCAACCTGGCTCTAGTGTGGATGAGAGGAGGCTGTTGGAGGGGAGGGATGTGAGGGAGAGAGAGGAACTGAGTGGAGTGATGGGAGGAGGGGAGGAGAAAAGAGGGGAGGGAGGGGAGGAGAAAAGAGGGGAGGGAGGGGAGGAGAAAAGAGGGGAGAGAGGGGAGGAGAAAAGAGGGGAGGAGAAAAGAGGGGAGGAGAAAAGAGGGGAGGGAGGGGAGGAGAAAAGAGGGGAGGGAGGGGAGGAGAAAAGAGGGGAGGAGAAAAGAGGGGAGGAGAAAAGAGGGGAGGAGAAAAGAGGGGAGGAGAAAAGAGGGGAGGAGAAAAGAGGGGAGGAGAGGGGAGGAGAAAAGAGGGGAGGAGAAAAGAGGGGAGGAGAAAAGAGGGGAGGAGAAAAGAGGGGAGGGAGGGGAGGAGATACGAGGGGAGGGAGGGGAGGAGAAAAGAGGGGAGGGAGGGGAGGAGAAAAGAGGGGAGGGAGGGGAGGAGAATAGAGGGGAGGGAGGGGAGGAGAAAAGAGGGGAAGGAGGGGAGGAGAAAAGAGGGGAGGGAGGGGAGGAGAAAAGAGGGGAGGGAGGGGAGGGAGGGGAGGAGAAAAGAGGGGAAGAGAAAAGAGGGGAGGGAGGGGAGGAGAGTAGAGGGGAGGGAGGGGAGGAGAAAAGAGGGGAGGGAGGGGAGGAGAAAAGAGGGGAGGAGGGGAAGAGAAAAGAGGGGAGGGAGGGAGAGGGATGGTGTGGTGTTGAGGTGGAGGCAGAGCGGTTCTCTGGAGTGGAGAGCAGCTAGAGGGGAACTGGGGTCGGAGAGGGGTGTGAATGATGGGGGAAAAGAGGGGAAAGAGGGAGGGAAGCTGGGGGGTGAAGGGGGTGAAGGCGGAGAGAAGGAGGGAAGGATGGAAGGTTGGAGAGGAGGTTGGAGGTTGGGCACGTGGGTGGACTGCTGCTGGGTGTAGGGGACATGTGTCGCGACGTTATTGGCTCTCCAAGTTATAAACCTGCAGCCGCAGCAGCAGCAGCAGCAGCGAAGCAGAAGTCGTTAGACACATGTCCAGACGCTCTCCTCTCTCTGCTCTCTGTTCTGCGCTCGCTCCCTTTCCACTCCCGCTCGTTGCCACTCAACGACAAACGATGCGCTCCCTTTCGCAAGACACTCTTGGATGCTGCAGCGATGTCTGTCGCACAAGGTGGGAATGGTGATGCTATCGCTGCCTCCGGTATAGTCGCTGCTGGTGGTGGTGGTGGCTCTTTTGCTGCTGCTGTTGCGGCGACAGATACTGCTAATGGCAGTGATGGGAGCAGTACTCGTAGCAGCAGCGAACAAGGGAGCAACAGCAGGAGCAGAAGCAGCACACTTGTGAAGCCTCTCACTGCTGCGGCACCCCTGCTATCCCTCCTGACTGCCATGGGGGCTCAGATGTGGAAGGAGGGAGAGGAGGGGAGTGAGGGGACGGGGTGGACAGTCGGGGTGAAGGAGAGGGAAGCTGAAGGAGAAGAGGGGGCCATTGCACTAGAGAGGAAAGAAAAGGGGGAGGTAGCAGCAGGGTTGGGAGGTTGGAGGTATGGAAAAGGGGCTGTGTTGGCAGCTATGGCGATGCAGGCAGCACAGGAGGTGCTGCCACGTGTCAAGCAGGCATTGGAGCAGATGCGGGCGGGGAATGGTGGGGATGGAGATGCGGTGTGGCTGCAGGCATTGGTGCAGCATGCGAGGGTGTGTGGCGGCTGGGTGTCCGCTGATGGGGAGAACGCACCCAACAAGATGGTGAGATGGGTGTGCTTGTATCACGCACGCATGAGAATTCTCATAAGTGTTGGTGGGATGGGTCTGTCTGCTTGTATCAGTTCTGAGAACATGAAGTCAAGGTGAGATGGGAATGTGCGGTTGTGGATAGCAGAATTGACTCTGTTTGAATTTCACTCCTGCCGATGGTGGGCTGGCACTGCCACGGTTGGGGCTCAGCTCAGTGGATGCTCTTACTCTGTACCATGAGTGTATGCGTCTCAGCTGATACGGCAACTTTTGAGTGGATTTAAAAAATGTCCAAGCTGAAGAATGCTGATGGACCATCTCACTCATGACTTCACGCGTGTCAGTCAGCTGATGGGGATAGCGCACCAAGTGAGATGGTGAGATGAGTGTGTTTGGCTGTGATGGCAGGATCGATTTGACAATATTTCACTGGGTTGATGCCATCCCAACGGCTCATGGGACAATGCATGCAATGAGATGGGTGTGGCTGATTAGGTTCGTGATTTGCTCAACGTGAAGGTGAATAGGATGGGATGCCGTCGTTGTGCATGCTACCAGGTGCCATGAGATGTCCATCCCTCCATGTGTCTGCCCTCCGTCCCAGGCCGTATCGGCATGCGATGCATCGCTGCACACCAAATGGCTGAGCTGCACCACGAGGGAGGGAAAGGTACGAGTTGCCATACCATGCCGTGCCATGCCCGCCATGCCATGCCATCTGATGACATTCCACGCCATTCATGTGCTTCGTTGTGAATGCAATCTTGAGCTGCATCCAGCTCATAACATCAGACCAAACGTTCTTGTGTTTTTGTGAACGCTTTCATTGGAGTTACTTATGAGAAATATCTAAAATTACTCTAACCGTTCTTGTCTCTTAGTGAACATTCTTATTCTTCCGGGGGCACTCCCTTCAAGTGCCTGGCTACAGTACCGGCTCAGTGACGCTGCTCCTGTTACAGTCACCATGTACTCAATCACATCGGCAAATGATTGCCCAGAGAGGGACCCCTGGTCTTGGTGAGTTTCGCATGAGAGACATGAGTGGTCATGAGACATGAATGGTCATGAGACATGAGTGGTCATGAGACATGAATGGTCATGAGACATGAGTGGTCATGAGACATGAGTGGTCATGAGACATGAAAGGTCATGAGAAATGAATGGTCATGAGACATAAAAGTCATTCGTGTTTCTTGGCTGTGCTAAACCGCCTTTCGCTTAAACCACCATACAATACATGTTTCTGATGAGCACATGCTCTCACCCACACATCCCATTCACTGTCTCAGGTCACTCTGAGCCAGCAAAGATGGCGGAAAAACTTGGAGCATACTGGTCTGACAGGCTGGTGTGCAATTCAGCAGCATGCATCAGACTCGAGTGCTTCCGATCAGCCCAACCAAGCAAACCTCACCAATTCTGTTCGGGTGCGGCTTTGCTGCACCAACTCTGTTCGGGTACAGGTGTGTTTTAGAACTCTGTTCAGGCTACCAGACCGAAACTAGACTTATAAAGGTGTGTACCTTGTTCTACAGCCATGCATTCCCTGTGGGTGCGCGTTGCTATATAGATTTTCACAGTTTCATCTAACCGCCTGTTCTTTGCATATCGTTCCTGTTAAGTCCTTCCTCTTTTGTATTTACTATATTTGGCAAAATGTCAAACGGTATCAGGGTGATTCCGGCTTCCAAAATGGCAGGGGTACTTAACCTCTGAGGTGACTCTCATATATTCCACAACTTTTATGGTAATTAATTCCTCTGAACATTCTCCCCACTCCCTTAGATTGTCTTGCAGGCTTGTCATCTCAGACGACTTTTGAGGCGCCTCAAAAGTCATCTCAGCTGTCCGAGACCCGTCCTGCAGCTGCCTTCAGCTCTCCTGCTTTGACCTTTACGCTGCACGCCAGCAGCCTTTGCAGACAAGTAATCAGAATACACCGACAAGCACAGGAACTGTGAACAGCAGAAGTCAAGCTCTTAATAATAAAGAAGTATCCATGTCGACAGCAATGAAGCCACCATCACCAGTGGTTACTGCAGCAGACTTTTGAGGCACCTCAAAAGACAGAAGTCAAAGTGTCAATAATGACGAAGTATCAATGTCTCCAGCAATGAAGCCACCATCACCAGTGGTTACTGCAGCAGCCGCTGCAGCGGCAGCAGCAGGGCTCTTGCTAACTTTTAGGCCCGTCTGACGTTTTGCCCAAAAAAAAAAATTCGTCTGGCCCTCATATGGAGGATTCCAGGTGGTCTTAGCCTCAGACAAATTTTATCGAAATCAGACATTTCTTTAATTAAATAGTCAACACACTGACTGCAGTCTACTACTACAGATAACCATACATTCATATTGAACTAGGATTCACTATCGCTACCATGAGAGTAATCATCCTCCTCGTCCCCGTCTAGCTCTGAATCTGAAGCCATGTGCTCTTTGCTGCCGTGGTCTGCCCGTCTCTGCCAAGGGCCCAACTCCTCCTCTAGCCTGGCTGCTTCTTCTGCAGCTGCTGCTTCACGAGCAGTAGCCTCTGCTGCTGCTGCTGCTGTTGCTGCCGCCTGCTTCGCGGCCAGCATCGCAAGGGTCTTCCTCGTGCGCTTCACAGGCCTTTGCGCATGCACCATCACCACATCAGCCAAGAAAAACAGCATGAAATGGAATTTCAAACTGGTTACAAGGAGGTACGCCTTCGGGTCGTTCTCGTATAACAGAATGACAGCAGCTGGAAGGTTGTCAGCCAGACGCTGAACCGCCAGACCACGTGAAAGCCACCTGACGCTGTGGATGCCCTGCAACTCCAGGTTCGTTTCACATAGCACCTCCTCCAGCTCTTTGAAGCGTAGGTGGAAGTTGCCCGACCGTCCAAGGAGCTCCGCTAAGGAACGGACGACATGGCCGACGATGTCAAGGTCGGGGTAGGCCTCAGCTGCATCCTTTGCCGCCAAAGCTTCCCTGACAAAACACGGAAAAAGCACCAAGTTAGATAAATATGCAACGCATAAATGGTAAGCATAACATCACAGGGTTACAAACCTGTGCGCGATGCAGTGGAACCCGGCGAGGTGTGGAATCCGTGCTCGAAGGCGTGCACCGACCATGACGCTTGCACCGTCGGTGCTGATGCCACTGATGCGCTCAAGGTCGAGCCCGCTAGACTCTAGGTGGGCTAGAAGGACTGCCTGCAGGGAACCAGCATCACACTGCTCAACTGTTAGGTGCGCGAAAAAATCAGTGATGGGCGTGTTGCCGCGGAGGAACGACAGGTAGACTATAAGGTGCTTCCCGCGCCGACGGTCCGTGCTCTCGTCCAATTGAATGCCCAGGTAAGGACTCTCCCGGATGTGCTTCATCTGTTGAGCACGGAGGTAGATGACGAGCGTCTCAACCAACTGCGCAAACCCGTACCTGCAATGACCAGAGAGAAGGTAATTAGTACCATGGTTTAAACTAAAAGACGCGCAAAAATATAGCACTTACTCGCTGTAGTACGTGCCGGAATCCTTAAGGGGCATGTCGGGCGTTCTCATCTCTGCCATGAACTGGACCAGGGTCACAAACAGCACAATGGGTGAGTCGCTTCTGCAAATAAAAATAACTGTTGCCATGAGTTTAGCCAAACGGTTGGCTTCCCCGTCACCGTTTTCGAAGTCGACAATCGACTTCTGAGCAGCATTCTTTCCGTCACGTAGCTGTTGGCGGTCCACTGACGCCTCATGCTTGATCGAATGCTGATGTTTCCTTATCGTCTGTCGTTGAATGTCGAGCCCACCCTCCCCGTCGCGGCCGTACTGGTAGCTGGGGTCTCCGTGCACCATGCAGATTGAACACCTCATGCAAGGTTGACCCCATGAACTCTGCGAGATGATGAGCCACGGGAAGTGCTTGAGCCATTTCTCGTTAGCCTTCTGCTGCCACTGCTCGACGGTCAAGGCGCGCGGATACTTGTCGTCGTCGTTGGCGGCGACGGGTTTTGACGGGCCCGGGCGAGGTGTGCTAAAGCGGGGGACGGTTGCTGGCGGGACACCTGCAGTGGGACGGGCAAAGCTCAGAATTCGCTGTTTGTATTTGCCGTTCCCTGCTCTAATGCACGAAACGGTAGAGTTGTAGCCACAGATACCGAAACGGGCGGCGGCGAAGACTCAGCTTCAGCCGGGTTAGGCTGGGTCGTAGTCTCAGTCGCGTCTGACGTGGATTGCGAGGGGATAAGCGGCTCGTCGTTGCATGATGTGATGACGTTGGGGGGAGGAATTACAGGCGGAGGTGTCTCGACTGCGGCAGTGGTGGTCACAGGAATTGCTGCCGGAGTTTTACGGGTTAGGAAATCTAACGCAGAAACCCGTGGCTCCTCAGGTACCCCGGGTGGATCACGCCTAGCGCTGTTGGTTGACTCGAGGGCGCCAGATAGCATGGTCTGGGGTGGTGTATCACATCACATGAGGCAGTAGCAACAAAGGCACTCTAGACGGTACACGGGAACAAGCTAAGGGACGAGAGGTATGCCACGGGCTAGGCGTCAAGGATTGAAAGGCAAAGGAAGGTTGTCAAAGAAAGGCTTGGAGAAGAAAGGAAGGGAAGGGACCATCACCTCACGAACCGCGCCGCGCCTCTCTCACGAAGGTTTCACGAAGGTGGGTGCATGCTTTGTTTGTTGTGCACCGACTGTCCTTGCACTCTGCCAGCGAGGTGGGGGGCAACAGCCTGGCAGCGGCGCTGACAACAGCTACCCGACAGATGCGTGGCAGCAACTGAGTCAGATGCAGAATGCGCTGGCAGGAAGAATCCGAAATTCACCCCCGTGCCCTCACGCAAAAATCATTACGCGTGCCTTCACATGCAACACATCGCTGCTCCTCTGGACAACTGGGCTATTTTGTCTCTATCAGACGAAACAATACGCGATTTCTGCTTGATCAGACGAATTTATATAAGTTTCCTGAAAAAACATATGACGATATAGCCTTGGTCTGGGCTCTCATATGGCCCATAAGCTAAAGTCTGCCGCAGCATATGAACTACACATTTCGTGCCTGAAACCTAGACCAACAGACTAAATATTAGTCTGCTAACGAGAGCCCTGGGCAGCAGCAGCAGCAGCAGCGCGAGAGCAATTTGCTGTGGCAGTATGTAAATGAGAAGGTGCCTGCAAATGAAGCAGCTGGGCAAGCTCTGAAGCATGTGCAAGAGAGAATGACTCAGGGGAAACTGTGAGCGTGTAGGGCCACGGAAAGACTTGGAAGACTTTGCAAGTTGAATGAGAGAACGCAAATGAATTGTGCTACCATATAAGGCCGTAATGATGCATCATATGTGCATTCTGACACATATTTGTCTATAAATACCTCAAGCACCTCACTATATTAGTCCAGTCTGCCATCTCATCAGTGCATTCCCAAGCTTGATGTCATGTGATCTAGCTAGACAGATTCAGCGAGACAAAAAAAAAAATCACGTGGCAATCTCTGATGCATCACTTGTGTGGGAGTTCAAACACCCTTGGTGTCCGCATCCTCAGCTTCTCCAGCATCGTTGGTCACTTGCTAGGACTATCCTTTGGAGTGGAAGGATGTCCAACGGCTTCAACTTTTGCCAGACACTCCTTCATAGCTGCAGCCTTAATTTCTGCCTCCTTTTCACGGCTCCTTAACCTCAATGCTTAGCTCTCCTCGCAAATTCTGTTCGTGGGCCATGTTCTCCTTCTGCTCAGCCTGGAGATCTTCAATCATGCTCTTGCAATTAGATTCGACGTCACTTGCCGACTACGTCGGCTTCAACGCCTACTTCTCCTTGCGCGCCTTGTTGTCCCGACGCTGACGACCACCGTAGGACCTCCAGCGGCCTCCTTTATGGTCATTGTCGTCGTCGGACTCCTCGCGATCGGGGCTGTCATAGAAGAGGTCGTCGGGATCGCCACAGGCCACCGCCACCACGACCGTTGTCCCGAGCCGACTTCGTCGAGTCGGCGTCCTTCGCCGACTTCCCACCTCCGTTACCACCTCCGCTCGACTTCCCACGTTGCCCCCGTTGACGTCCCTGCTTTGTCTGGGCGACGAAGTTCGTCTGCGAAAGGAGCTTCTGCACAAACTCGTCGTTGATGATGTAGCTTGACAACGAGTCATCGTTCAGCGACTCACGCGTGCCGGGAATGGCCAGCATCTGGCGCATCAGGTTGTAGCCCACGGGGAGGCCTTTGATGGTGTGGGCGATGTAGCACGCCACTTAGTAGTCGATGCCGGCCATCCGCAGGTCGGCCTAATTTTGTTGGGCACGGTTGCAGTAATCCGTCGCCGAGTCCTGCTCGG